CCCATCACTATAGGGAACAGAAGGGATGCACTCTATTATTGGGTTCTTTTTTTTTTTTTTTTTTGCTAAGAGGCAACAGTTGTTGTAAATTTTGTTTGGAAACAGTAAAGAATTGGCAGCGTGTGGGCAAAAGTTTCCAAAGTAGTGGTATCTGAGAAGTCAAAAACTCCTACAAGTGTATTTAAATGAAATATAAGCTGAGAGATAATCACTCTTTTGGTTTTAAGGACAGCTTGTGGGTTATTGATGCTGTGACTAAGAAGGGTAGAGGAACTGGGTGGGGGAGCTAGGATAAAATGCAGGGACCCATAGTAGGTGAAAAGTAGGACAAGTTGAGGAAGGATAGATAGATGTAGTGAAATCAGTCTACATCTCTGTTAAAAATATACACTCAAAACTGAGTAGCTCCAAAAATGTGTGTAAATATTACATTCTTTATAGACCCTTTAAGGATGTTTTGGTGACTTCTTCGGGCTAATCTAAGATACTACCCTCAGCTAAATTTTTTTGAGGAGTAAGTTTTACCTGCAAATCAGGTTATGCCCAACAGGAGCTAGAGAAATTAGCTGGTAGAGGGTGAGATTAGGCAGGAGAGACAGCCTGAAGGAAGGTGGGTGGAGGGAAGGTAAAGAAGAGGACCTTAGGATTCCACTGGTATCTGCAGCCCAAAGTAGATTTCATTTTCCTTTTAGTCAGAATCTTTTCTGTTTTCCCAGTCAAAGTAACAGTATTAACAACAGGATCAATCCCAGGATCTCGGGATCATGACCTAAACCAAAGTCAGGCATTTAACTGACTGAACCACCCAGGCGCCCTGATTCTTTCCTTTTTTAAAGCAAAAAGCACAGAATCACAGCTGTGTGTAATGTGACATTTAGAGTTTTGGAGCCAGAAGATAATCTGGTCTAACCTCGTCATTGTACTGGTGAGGAGGCTGCAACCTACAAGGTTAGATGATTTATTCAGTCTATCAGTGGATTAGTAGAGACCGGAATCCAGATTTTTCTTAGGTTCTGGCTCTGGCCTCTTGTATAGTCCCATGAGGACTGGTGGAGGAAGGAGCATGAGAAAACTAAACCCACCTCTTCCCTATCACTTTCTCAGAAAGCTGACATTGATAGACTACTTCTGACTGAGACAGAAAGAAGCCAACCAGTGGCCAGGAGACAAATGCCACGGGGGTACCCTTTAGTCCTTGAGCACAAAGTGCTCTAAATTCAATTCAAGGTGAATCAATATAGAAAATATCTGAGATTTAAAGAAAATCACCATTCTGGTTTGAACCATACTTCCCATACTTTATCATACTTCACTGTATATATGTTATATATGCTCTACATAATCTGGTTTCCTTCAAAATCCTTAAACTCAATAATTTTTTTTTTTAAAGATTTTATTTATTTATTTGACAGAGACACAGCGAGAGAGGGAACACAAGCAGGGGGAGTGGGAGAGGGAGAAGCAGGCTTCCCGCCGAGCAGGGAGCCAGATGCAGGGCTCGATCCCAGGACCCTGAGATCATGACCTGAGCCGAAGGCAGATGCTTAACGACTGAGCCACCCAGGCGCCCCTAAACTCAACAATTTGAATAGGAGTTTAGTGCTTTGATTTTTTTTTTTAAAATGTTTATAAAGCTTCCACTCTGTATTATTTATTTATTATTTATTTGACAGAGAGAAACACAGCGAGAGAGGGAACACAAGCAGGGGGAGTGGGAGAGGGAGAAGCAGGCTTCCTGCCGAGCAGGGAGCCCGATGCGGGGCTTGATCCCAGGACCCTGGGATCATGACCTGAGCCGAAGGCAGACGCTTAACGACTGAGCCACCCAGGCGCCCCTAGTGCTTTGATTTTAAAAGTAGACTTATCATTGTTTAATACTCTTAATTCTGTGTTTTCCAAAAGTTTATTGATGTAGAATTTAAATTTAAAATTAAAATTTGAATTTAAAAAATTTAATTTAAAATTAAAAAAAATTCTATACCTAAAGGAACTTTAGTTTTGATTATCCCTCCTTGTCATCTTACTTTATTCTGACCTTGATCCCCTTATTGCTCCTTTTGCCTCCATCATTTCTTAGGCTAGATTTTCCCCAACTCAGTCCATATCTTTCCCAGCCCAATCCATACCTGGGCCAAATCCAGTCCATACCTTTGCCACTGGATATCTCTCTACTCATCTTTCAGGGCAGGGATTCTGGAACTTTAGTGTACTTAAGAATTATCCTGGGAGCTTGGGCCCCATTTCTTAGATTCCAGTATAGTTGGTCAGACATGAGGACTTGGAACCTGTATTTTAAAAACCACTCCCATTAACTTTGATGTAAGCAGTCCTTGAATCACAATGCTTAATGGTGTCAGATTTTGAGTGCACTAATATAAATCATAGGAACACCTACACTTTGGATCCCTTTACCTAATTATAAGAAGCTTTTTTTCTGTGCTGCTTTAGCCACTGGCTCTGTCTGTGGGCCCTAGTTTATTCTTCACCTGCACTTGAGAATAGATAACGGGGAAGAATTCTAGTTTCCCATACAGTATTGTCATCTTCTAGTTGATGAATCTGGTTCAGGGACATCCACTTTCAATGATGTGAGGCTTGAAGGCCAAGAGGTAAGACACATGCTGCCACCCAAGAGTGACAATTGGGAAGGAACAGGTTTAATTAAAGGAATTAATTAATTTATTTTAAAATATTTTATTTATTTATTTGACACAGAGAGAGACAGTGAGAGAGGGAACACAAGCAGGGGGAGTGGGAGAAGGAGAAGCAAGCTTCCTGCTGAGCAGGGAGCCCAGTGCGGGGCTCCATCCCGGGACCCTGGGATCATGACCTGAGCTGAAGGCAGATGCTTAACAACTAAGCCACCCCAGGTGCCCCAAGGAACAGGTTTTAAATAGTAGCTGACTACAGGCCTTCTTTGGACTCTTAAGAAGTCGTAAGAGCAAATTAAGTTGAGTAGTAACACTTAAAGTACCAAACCACAGATAAATAGAATTTTCTATGGAAAGCTTGGAATGGAGAATAGTCTTCACAAAAATGATAAAATGTTTCCTGATTCTCGGAAAAAAAATATTATCTCTACAAAAGGAGGTCAGTGAGAACTCTGATGTGATTCATGGAATATGAATAACACATATAAGTGGAGGCTTAGAAAACCAGTCTAGGACATTACAAACATTTTTTTTTTTTTCCCCACACATAGTGTAATGATTTGTGTATGAAACAGTAGATTTTTTGGGAAAAAAATATTTTTCTCCTTTTCTAGTGAATGAACTTAAGATGTATTTGATGAAGATAGAGATTTGTTGATATGGGAGCTCAAGAGGCCCTACCTATCTTTTCATATTCTTGATTCTACCAACTGTCTTTAATCATGAAGGAAGCACTTAAAACCTCTTGACCACATATAGATGTACATTATTCTCTTGTTTCAGCTTGTTGGCAAGAGTGGCAATTTGGAAATGTTATTCAGGTTTCATGGGTTTCATGAACTGGCTAAACCCTGATGGAGTTTTCCTATTGCTGGTGGAGGAGCTGATGAGCTTGGCTCTGGATGCTTGTTCTTTGGAAGCACTATTTGACAGGAGGAGGAGATGGAAGCAAACAGAGTGATGGAAACCACCTTTTCCTGCTAATTTTTCCTTTCTCATCTATAAAATCTTCCCCAACTCATGGTCCTCTAATATAATGCCTTGGACACTCTAGGCCAGTAGATTCTGGTATCAGCATGCAATTTTTTTTCTTTCTTTCTTCCTTCCTTCCTTCCTTTCCTTTCCTTTCTTTTGTTCCTTTCTTCTCTCTTTCTTTCTTTCTTTCTTCCTTTCTTTCTTTCTTTCTTTCTTTCTTTCTTTCTTTCTTTCTTTCTTTCTTTCTTTCTTTCTTTCTTTCCTTCCTTCTTTCTTTCTTTCTTTCTTTTCTTCCTTCCTTCCTTCCTTCCTTCTGTCCCTCCTCCCTCCCTCCCTCCTTTCTTTCTTTCTTTCTTTCTTTCTTTCTTTCTTTCTTTCTTTCTTTCTTTCTTTCTTTCTTTCTTTCTTTCTTTCTTTCTTCTTTTGCCAAATAGGTCTCCTCTGGGTCATCAAGGTACACATAGCCAGGTGAAAAGAGATCAAATCTTAAAGAATCTTCATTTGCTTGTGTTAAAGCGAAAAATGGACTGACTTGATTTTAAATAAATAGAAAGGCTCTTAAAAAATTCTCCCCAATTTTTTCTTCCTCTTGGAGGGTGCACAAGAAGTTGAGAGAAAAAAAAATATAACAAATTGAAAAAAAGCAATCCGTATTCTTGCTTATCCTCTTGTCATAAACTTTTTCCACATCAGAAAGAATATAGTGTTAGTCCACTTTAGACCCTGTCCATATGGGCTAGTTACCGCAAGTTTCAGAAAGACTTTGTTGTAACATAATTTCACCAGTTGCTTGGCATGGGTCCCTGATAGACAGGCCAGGAAAACCGGTAACAGAAGCTGGTGAAAAGGCAGAGGCTTTTAATGTCTTATTCAATTCACTCTTCATAAGAGGTATCAGATGTGAAGGAGCCTGGAACAGTTCCCAGTTTTGATGAAAGTAAAGAGAGTCAAAATAGAAAAAGAGTGAAAAAGTGCTTTGAAGAACTGGAACTATTTGTATTAGTCAGGCATGCTGGGTATTGAAAGAACTAGCAAGTGCCACTGTGGTGGCGAGTCATTATTGTTATTATTTTTTAATTATGGAGATAAAGAGAAGTCCCTCAGAATTAAAATATGTTAAGTATTGTGACTAGTTTAAAAATGCCCAGCCAAAATAGATTGACCATGGAAATTATAGACAAGTCAGACTAACATCAAATACATGAAGAGAGATCAGAAAAAAAATCATCAAATAATTTATTATTATTTTTAGATAAATCTAGTAACCAACTGGGTTTTGCATAAACTAAATGGCATTAGGCTAATCTCTCTTCTATATATAGGAGACGACAGGTAAATAATGGAACAACAATAGTTGTGTTCATCTTAACTTTAATAAGCTGGTACTTTCTCTTGACTCCAGTAATGGTATATGCATGAATGTCACATCCATAGAGCATTTAGCATTGTTCACACCGTCATTGAAGGGATATTTAGGCATGATAGCACATAGTGACTGCTTCTGCTTATTGTATCTGTGGGTAACTCGATTAAGAATTAGAGAACATGACGCCAGTGTTGCAGATTTCACAGAGTTGCCGATTCTCTGTAAAATATGAAAGAATTCAAACTGACCTTAACAAATTGGAAAAATGACATGCTATAGAATTAAATTAATTTTGGATAAAACATGAGTAGCAAATACAAGTTGAAGAAAAATTACCCTATAGTAGCAATTTAAGCATGACATACTAGGAATGTCAGTTGGAGATATGGAGAACATGATTGAATTTTGGGAAAAATTTTAGAGGAAAATAAACTAATTGGATAAGGAAGTGAGGTGTTTATGTTTTGTACTGACACTTTGTGTTTTATAGGCTATTAGTTTCCTACTCTATATCTTTGTAGTAGAAGGAACATAAAATCTAGCTAAGATCCTTAATTATTTTTTCTTTCATTTATTAAAATGTCACAGCCACATTAAACACTGTCAGTATTTTTTTGAGGAAAATGAGGATCTAAGTTCAAATATCCCAACAGGAAAAGTTATAACTGAGACAGTCATTGTGAAGTACTACCTTGTTTTCTTGCTTCCAGTCCGGGGCTATTTTACTAAGCCTGGAGAGAATGGAGGCTGGGGCCAAGGCAGGAGTGGTAGGAAAGGAGATAGATGGGCAAATCTGAGATAGATTCAGGAAGTAGAGGTGACCTTGGAGTGTGGAGGAGAGGAAGTTTCAAGCCTAAGTTCTAGTTGGGGTGACTGGTTGGGTGGAGGTGGGACACTGGGGAGGAAATAGTAATTCTCTTTTGTGGGGGTAGGTGATGAACTTGGTTTTGGTTATGTTGATTCTGAAGTGTCCACAGGCCATCTGAGTGGATCTCTTCACTAGCCAGTGGATATGTATATCTGAAGTTCAGTAAAGAAATATATTTAGAGTGAACAGCAGGTAATGAACAGCAGGGACCAGCATCCATGAGCTGTGTGTTAATTCTGAGCCAGGTGGGAAATGGCTGATGACAAATCTGGGTGGGGACAGGGAAGCAGCTCAACTTTCTAATTCCTAAAAGCTGGCTTTTGGCCCCAGGCGACTTAGTGTAACACAGGTCTGTGAGGTGGACTAAAAACAAAGGACTAAAATAAGAATGTCAAGTGTGACTAATTTGATCATTATAAAAATATATGCTTGTAATGAAGGGGAAAAAGCAGAGGTGAGAATGCATATGTACTTGTGATTTAGAAGATAGACCTTATCTTTGTTTATAGCAGCAAGAATCTGTGTTTGCACTTGTACCAGGCAGAGATTCTGGGGCTGATACTGCTTTGTGGAGACCGTGGCTCTCGAACAACTGAAGTACCATCTTGTTCTGACTGGACAGGAATTCCTACTCGGCTGGACTCACCAGTGGCCATGTGACTGGCCTCAGCAGTGAAATGAGGGGAGAGGTGATGTGTGTCACTTCTGGGCAAAAGTTTTATGAGCCGGTATGTGGTGCTCTACAACTCTTTCCTTCTGCCTGGAGGCTGACAATATTGAGCTCGAAAGTTTGGTCCCAGGGTGAGTGTAGAATGTAATTCATGATGGACGTGTAGCATGAGTGAGGGGGAAAAAAAAAAAAAGCAACACAGTCAGTGGGAGACATTGATAGTTGTGAATTGTTTATTTCCACAGCATCATTAAGCCCATCCTGATTACTATACAATCTCTACATACAGTGACTAGTTTAAGGATGTTTCCTCTTTTGCAAATGGTCAGATTTAGTCCAGAAATTTAGTAGCCTATTTCAGAATGTACCAAGGGCCATTTAATTCATTTTAAGCTTCCAATTTCTAAGTGAAATTTCTTTTTCTTCTAAGGAGGGATTATGGCAAATCATATCTAAGATGCTTAATTATTATAAAATCTCAATTATGTGGAGGTCAGGACTGCAAACTAGGGCAGAGAACCGGGAGGAAATTTCTAAGACCTTAAACAACTCAAGTATGTAGTTGTCACACGTTCCAAATGCCAGAGCCCCAAGACATTATTACTTTATAGGCACCAATTCAGAAATTATTTAGTTTTAGTTGCACAGGATTAACAAGCTTAGTTATCACATTCCTCTGCCCTTAGCTGATTAAAGGCTACCAATTAAGAGAGGGGCATTGTGAGCACTATTAGAAGCAGTTATACTAAAAACTGGGGGAAGAGAAAGTCTGAAAAAAAGAGGAGAAACAGAAACCTAAGAAGTAGCTTCAGAATTCCTAAGTTCCTGCCATGGGGATGCTTTTGGGATTGTAGCAGGCAGTCCTGTACATTATCAGTAGCCAGAGGGGTGCGGTGATATTTTATAAAATGAGGATGAACCCCATCATCAGGAAAAAAAAAGTTTAACTATGTGTTATACCCTAACAAGGCAGGGTCCTCTTACAAAGTTAACCATAAAAAGGACATGAGGTAAAAAAGTAGTAAGCTCTAGTTTTCAGAAAACTCATTCACTTAGTCAGTCAACAAACGTTTATTGTTGACTACAATAGAAATTGCTAGTCTTTGGGGACACAAGGAGAGGTTAACTGTCTCTGTCCTCTAGGGGTTCACAGAGATAGAAAAATAAATGTATGCAACACCGTGTCCTGCGTTTTATTGGAGGTGGGCACAAAGTGTGATGAAGCCGGGAAGAGAGAGGCAGGAAAATTTTTGTTGAGGGAGGATGGGTGGTGCCTTAAGAAAGATCCCATGGAAAAGTAGTGGTTCTCCTGGGTCAGATCAACCAGATGGCTGGAATCAGTATTGCGGAAGGGGAGGAGGGAGGCCATTCCAAACAGAGAAGAGACAGCAAGGACAAGTGCCAAGGCATGGAAGCCTGTGGTGTGTTTGTGGGTGAGGGAAGGGCACGTGGTTCCAGAGGGAGATGAGATTGGCTGGGGAGGCGGGGCTTGCCAGGAGGGCCTAGTGGTGGCAGATATATGACATGTGACTGGACTAGAGCAAACTGGTATCTATTCTTGGGTTTTCGTTTCATCAAAAGTCTGATTTCTAATTCACGTCTTCAGAGGCAAAATTCTCTAGGTCATTCTTTGGTCGTAAGTGTTTTAAAGAATACCTTTTTTTGGGCGCCTGGGTGGCTCAGTTGGTTAGGCGACTGCCTTTGGCTCAGGTCATGATCTTGGAGTCCCGGGATCGAGTCCCACATCGGGCTCCCTGCTCAGCAGGGAGTCTGCTTCTCCCTCTGACCCTCCTCCCTCTCATGCTCTCTGTCTCTCATTCTCTCTCTCGCAAATAAATAAAATCTTAAAAAAGAAAAAAGAATACCTTTTTTATGTTTGAGAGGAAACAGATGAGGAGCATTGATAACCTTATGGCAAGAGCATCATCCTGTTTTAGTTAAGGGGTCTTAATGCCATCGATAGAAAATTAGAAATCTATTATGTCATTGATTTCTTCTTGCACAAACTGTGCAGTTTTACATAAACTAACATTTACTGTGGAGTGTTTCTAAACACAAATACGAAAGAGCTCTCTTTTGTATTGGCCTGAATGATAAACAACACAGAATTGAACCTTTAAATTCCTGTGAAAATTATGATGGAGCACAACCAACAGTTAATGTCAGGTTTCTTTTGTTTGCTTTCGGTATCAGTGCACCAATAGAATACTAAATTCTGCTGGGCGGAAATATATTTGTGGATTACTTCAGAATACAATTTATCGAGGAAATATTGCGAAGGTAAGGCAAAGTACAGGTGTAGCCATTTCAGAAGATCCTAAATGAAAAAGTGCAGATTTCCTTTTAAAAATCCCCCAAAGTATCAAAAGTAGTTTTTACTTTTATTCATGATTATTTGAGTGACTTGTTTACCCCACAGAGTAAGATGGCAGTGAGGAAGAATATTTTTGCCTCCTTTCATCCTGTTGCTTTGAGGTTCATTCATATATTTATATAAAACATACTTATATAAATATATATGTATTAATATATATACATATAAATGAACCTCAGGGCAACAGGAGAAATATATATACGTATTTCATATATATATATTCATATTAGAATAAAATTTTACTTTAAGAAATGTAAACTTTTTTATGTTTCTGGAGAAAAATCATTTTAATGTATTAACTGAACAAGCATTTACCTGTTTGTCATTTTAAAATGTAGTAACTGAAAATGCACTCTTGTGAAAATTCGATGCTTCTAAAGCAATGAGAAGAAAATCGATGCGACTTAATAATATCCCTGAGGTACACTCTACCTTTGGAAGAAATAAAACATTTCAAGAATTGTGTGTGATGTAGCATACAAAGTAAAACGGGCCCTAACATGAAAATCAAGCAGTTTTAGAGGGCGATTCTTTCCAATCTGTGGTCATTTGTCTTCCAAGAGTTCATGGTATTGGTTCATGGCTAGGAAGAAGCTGTTTAGGCACAGCGAGTGTGACAAGCAGCAACACCGCCTTGGGATAGAGGCGATCAGATTGGCATAACCCTTTCACATTTTTCTGCACTAATCCACCGGTCTCTTTTCTAAAAAGCATTCATGTGCGACAGGGCTAGCCATGCATAAACTCCCCACCAGCTTCCTAATGAGTTGACCAGGAACCATGACCAGGCCAGGTGGTAAAGTCACGTCAAGGCTTGGCAGCAAGCAGACTTGCTCTGTGCTGGTGTGCGTGAACCCTGTGCTTATTTAACAGGACAGAAAAGGCAACATTACTTCACTCATTCAGCATTTCTTGGAAGTCTCTCCCGAATGAGGCGCTGGGACTTTGTAGTGAGACTCTTCTCTGTGTAGTCTCATTTTTCACACAGAGCCTTGAGTTACAACGTGCTCTTTTTATACCTGCTGTAAGCATGCGGTCATGTTTATGGAGTGTCCGCTCAGCAGTTTGCCATGGGGGAGAAAGGGAGTTTAGGTCTTGCCCATATAGCAGTGTATCTTCAAGTGTCATGGAGGAGATGCGTGGGATACACATAAGGCGATGATGTATACAACTACATTCAGCACTCAGACCATAAATGCATACACTGTATAGACTTGGCCATTTGTGGTTAAATTAAAGGGGCAGAGAAATGTAAGGATGACTCAAGGCCATTGCTCTGGACTTGAGGATTTTCTTTTCTGGCTTCA